CCAGGTGAAGAAGTCTTTCCCGTCGAAAGGCTTTGTCGTTTGCAGCTTGAGAACGTGCGCGAATTGCGACTGGACTTGTAACGCGTCCAATGTCTTTTCTTGTCCCGATGCAGGTTGCGGTTGCGGCATGAAGCTGACGGAGCCACGTTGGGGCTCGTACGGCGCAAAGGTACCGTAGGCTGCTGTTGTTGTTGTTGCATCCCGCGTGCATAGGATGAGCCGTCGAGGCTCATCGGGGTAACATTGTTGTTGTTGTTGCTGTTGTTTGACTGTGCAGGCACTCCTTGCTGGTGTTGCTCGTAGAAGGACATGAAGGAGAAAATTTTCTCCATCATGTTTGAATCGAAGCCTGCTGGTGTTTCCGTGGACCCAGCTGCTGGTCTTGCGGTGGTGCCTTCCTCTGTCTGTAGGCCAGAGGCAGGAGGTGGAGTAGGAGTAGTGCCTGGGGAGCCGTTGGAGGAGCTCCTCTCCTTCCTTGCAGACATGTCTTCTTTCTTTGTATTTAAGTATTGAGAGAGAAAATGATCTTAAACTCTAACTGCTCTCATACCATGTTGGGCTGAGAAGCCCTAGGATCTTTGTAGAGTTTAAGGACTGAGTAGGATTGTAATAGCGGAAGCGTTGTAATACAGAGTGGTTGAACCACCTTGCACTAGTATGTGAGAGCAAAGTAAGTTAGATTAAACAAGCAAATACAAGGTTTATATAAGAGTACAAGGAATACGAATAGATAGATTTAAACCGTTTTACTGTTGCGATTCGATACAGTGCGACTCGGGCAACTGCTCAATGTCGAGTCAGTTGTGTGTCCTTGCTGTCGCGCTGTATTTGGTCAAGTCAAAGGTCGCTGACCTTTGACCTTCGCGTAACCTCCAGACGATTACGCCAACCTCCGAGGGTTGACTCGCGATGCTTCGATTTGGACTGCTTCGCTAGTGTCCTGAGTTTCGACACGACAGAGGCGCCTTAAGACTTATTGTTCCCAACAAGATCGAGGGAGGGGGCGTGTCCCTTTGAATGGACTGTATGTTCAGTTGTCAGGTTGGAATCACCGTACATGTTATATTGCACGCTGCAGCAATGAACTTGACACGGAAATAAAAAAATCGGTACAAGTAGCACCACTCAGTCTTGGATTACACGGTAAAAACACATGGCGTTGCCAGGTAGGTGCACTAGGACTTGAATCTTGATGGGCAGTAAACATCATAAGGGTACCTTGACTTTGTGGCGTGTGTATTTCGGGCACCCTGGTGTTGACGTTTAGAATTACTAGAATGAACTATCCCAAGTTTAGGGACAGTCATGCATCATTCATCAGCTACGTCCCATAGTTCAGAAAATAAAAACATACAGTATCTTATGACTAAAATGCCAGATTACGTAGACTGAACCGCTTGGGTATGCTCACTTGGCGTTCAGGGGCTTTAGCTCTGTGCACACAAGGACCCGACAAGAACGACAGGAGAAGAGATTTACGAATCTTGTCAACAAACAACACACAGATGACCAGCCACCAAGAGGAGCCATGGGGGATTGGGCAAAAAGTAAGACCCAGAAGGGGAGGTGAAAGAGAGGGAGGATGTGGAGGGAGAGCAAGAGAAGGGGGGTGGTGGTGGAGAGGGGTTGCAGGATGGGGGGGAGGGTGAGGGATGTGGGTGGAAGTGAAGTAAGAGATAACTCGCAGGAGATTGTGTGGGATAATTGGCGAGCAGCATATAGGGCCAATAAAGGACTGAGGCAGGTACGGACTTTCAGATTGATGTGAACGGTGCAAGGGAGGAAAGACTGAGGTAGTAGGCAGGACGAGGAAGGATTCAAGATGAGAAGGGCATAAGAGAAGAGCACAGAGGAGCAGAGGAATGAAGATAGATGTAAAGAGAGGAGGGTCAGGGTTCTGCGAGGGTTTATATGTAGACCGGATTGATTGGCGTTGGATGAACGAATATATGGCATTAAAAACTGGAAGGGTCCTGTTAGAGATCAATGACCGCAACAATTTCATTGCCATGGCTTCGTAGCCTCCACAGACGAGTATTCTAAGACAACTTGGAGACGGGGGGTACTCAAAACTGCCTAGAAGACCACAAACTTCAATACTCAAACGAAAAAAAAAGTTGTGGTGGAAAAGGCATCCACCCTGTTTCAGAGACCACCTCCGAAATGGGGACCTAAATTGGTTACCTCCGCCTCTGATACGAAACCGCGAGGCGAATCGTTACGTTCTTATGCCTCCTTCCCTTCACGCAGGGTTTCTATGTTATGACCGTTAGTAAAAAGATTTGCTCATTTTTCTTCGTGGCTTATTGTTTATCTACGTCGTTGAAGAAAAAATAAAACGGATTGTGCGATCAACGCAACTCACCAGCATCTTGACCGTCATCCACTTCATTCGCAGGAGTCAAGGGTTTCGCCTCCTCCTCGTCCGTAGATGCCGGAGCGGTTCGGAAGTTCTGCTTCACGTTAGATTGCTGGTACATCACTCCTCCGATGATTGTAACGAGAAGGCACATGACTCCAAACGAGGATGCGTGCTTGTCCCAGATCATCACGTTGATGACAACGGTCAGAAGCTTGTTGGTCACTCCGAGAACAGTGAAAGCAGTTGCCGAGATCGCCTTTCTGCAGGCGAATCCGAAGAAGCTAATAGCGAGTCCAAATGCGCAGGACAGCAGCACGGGGAAAACCACGCCGAATTTCCAGTCGGCCATAGCGGTGGTAGCGATCATCGTCTCTTGAAACTCGCCGGTGATCATCCAGAAGAGAGGAGCCATAAGAAGGGAGAGGAAATTGTTGTACAGGACGAAACCCCAGGTGTTCAGACCGAGACTGCTCACGATATGCTTGATGTACACCATTTCAAGTGTGATTGTGAAGAGGTAAGCGAAAGCCCACGTGTACGCGCGAACGGTGAACTGGCTGTCTGTAACCACGTAACCAACCGCGCCGGCGAGAATCACGAAAAGAGCTCCAAAGGTGTATGGCCCCGGCCATGGCTGCTTTCTGAAGAGATAATCAGCGACGGCGACGAGAAGCGGTGTAGACGACCGGAACACGATGAATGTGTCCACGTTGGCGTATTTAAGGAGCGTCGTGTTGGTGAAGATTGCCATGTAGAAAACGAAAGCCGCGGGAAGGAATTTCTTGACCATGCTCCATTGGATCTGGTCGTGCTCCAGAGCCTTCATTTGGCCCAAACCGAAGACCGCGACGACGCATGTGAGGTATTGGAGAGCCGTTAGAAGGCTCGGGAAAGGAAAGACATCGATGGCGTATTTGTTGATAATTGCGAGGAGACTCGAGCAGAGAGCGTATCCGACGACCAATGGCAGCGCGGTGAGATCGCCGAGGTTGAGTGTAACCCCGAAGCAATTGACGGTCGTGTTCTCCTTATACCACGGAGCCATGGCGGATCTGACTGCCGCCTTGTGAAAAAACCGGGATCAAGCGATGCAGCTCGCAACACCAATGCGTTAAAATGGTAACAAGTGAGGGATGAAACTACAGATGCTGAGGTAACTGGATTCAATGGGTCCTCGTTGCTGGTATTGCGAACTTCTACACACGTGCGGAAAATGCGCCAACAAAAATGTCTGTAATATGCTGTTATCTGATCTAAGTGGCGCTGAGAGAAATGACATTTGTGTTTCAAGGAGCAACTAATTTACATACTGAACTGCCCCACCATCCTGCGCTTCATTGATTGGTGGAAACCTCGGAGACCTGGGATTACCGCCGAGGCACGGGGAGAGCCTGATCTCCTGGTTTGGTGGGGCTGTTTCAGGGGCTGTAAACGTCGTGAGTTTTGGGCTGGTTGAAATGGTTTGTCAGTAGTTTTAGTTCGGTACAGATTTTAGGTTGAGGTGGTTGATCCGTGCTTGTTATCCTTAGCAAATAGCTTCGGGAAGGTGGTTGTTGGGCTTTTTAAGTAAGGGTTTGGTGATGTGGCACATGAGGTGAGCGGGACGACGCTGATTGGGTATACAAGCTGCGCCATTCTGGTTTGATCCGAGCTGGCTACGCCGAACCAATGTGCGTAATCGCCAACAAGGCGATTGGGGCTGGTTGCCAAGTAGCTGGCGAGTGTGCGACGCGATGCGATTGTGGTGGTTGGGGGGAGAGTGTGCTCAACTGAGCGGCTTGGGTTCAGGGCAGATGTAGCGTAACGACGCAGAGATTCGATGGTCAGGTTGAATGCGAAATGCACGTGTTTGATGGTCTCCTGAAACCACAACAGTCGCTGATGAGACTCGTCCTGAAACCGCAACAGAGAAGGTCCAACATCACGGTTCACCAACTACACTTTTTGAAACACAACGGGATAAGCCTAATAATTTTACCGAAGCTGCTAATGTCAAAGTCCTGCCATGGAGGTCGCAGATTGAATGTGAGCAATCCACGCGGCAAATTCATGGTTTCTGTCGGAGATTCGAGGTCGCTTCGGTCATCGAGTGAGGTTACGGAGGTCAGCCGAATTGAGGGAGGTCACGGGCAATGGCAAGAATACTCCGCCACTGGGCAGCGGCTAAGCTGAATTTGCTCAGATCAAATGGTTGTTGCATGTCGGCTCGCCGACCGCGTTAACATGTCGCTTGCATGCGTGACTGTGAAGTTGGGCAGGAAAAGGCAGCCCTTAGATCGGCCTCTATGTTCGAGCCTTTTACAGTCCAATTGATGCCACGTGTCTCCGTCCAAGCGGGGACGGATGTGGAGCTAGCTGTCTTTTCGCAAGGCGACCGAATCGCAGCGATAAGGTGGTTGCCCTGGGAATAATTGGGCCGATCCAGGACGGACTTGCTGCGCACGCAACGTCGTTATACGTCCTTGAAATAGCGGTGTTCTCCCGAGTTTCCGTGTCGCGAGTTCTATTTGGTTCGCTGCAGCTCCTTCGTGAAAACGACTATCTGCACGCTCTCATATCCCAAGTTGTCTGAACCGAGGAATCCTTTCTTACGCACCGTACTGCATCGCGCGTTAGAGTCAGGCGAGCAAGAGACAACATGGCGAGCCAGCAGGTTCCGCAGGTAAGGTCACCGCAGGTTTAGCATGTCTTCAGTATCTGTTTTACGCTGTTTCGTCTGTTCTTTTCCTGAGTACCGGGTTTTGTGCACCGCAGGTGCCACATGGTGGACAGGCACAAGCTGAGAGAGAGCAGAAGCAGCAGGAGGGCGTGTCATGGGCTGAGCGTGTGAAGGGAATCATGGAAAAAGGCTCCACGGAGGAAAGGCCCACTGAGCGTAAGAGCACGGCTGAAACAAGCGAGAGTAAAAGCGTGGAGGAAGAGAGGGCCAAGCAGGCTAAAGAGCATCATGCAGTAGCTTCAGCGAAGCGTGCTGGTGAGCATCAGGCAGCCGCTTCAACCAAGCGTGAGGAGGCTAAAAAGGAGGCGCAGCAGGCGGGTAGCCAGGTGACAAGGACCACCAAGAAAGCAGGCGAGGCAACTGTGGAGAAGGGACATCAGTTGACGGAGAAGGCCAAGGAAGGGCTCGCGTCAGGGACAGAGACGGTGACTAAGAAGTCTGAGGAGCTGACTGAAAGGGCGAAGGAGAGCCTGGGAGAGACTGCAGAGATGCTCAAGTCCAGCTTTGGTAAGGGACAGGAGGAGGTTCAGGAGGGAGAGACTGGTATAGGTAAAGGAGTGGATGTGAAGGGGAAGGAAGAGGCTGCTGCTGTTTTGGAAGCGTCTTCAAAGCGGTTGGGTCAGTTGGCAGAGGTTATGAAGGAAAAGGGTTTGGAGGCTGAGCATGTGGTGGAGGGGTCAGCCAGCAAAATATATTCCGACATTAAGCATGCGATGGAGAAACTGTCATTCGTGGGAGAAGAAGGCAAGACTGGTGGTGATGTTGAACTGAAGGGAGCGGAGGAGACTGGTGAGGGAGTGAAGGCAGCAGCAGCAGACGTGCACGAAGCAGTGAAGACCACGCAGGGTGTTACTCAAACTGTTGTGGTTGGTGCTGCTGAGGTGCTTATTGCTGCTGGCGATGCTGTAACTGATGCTGCTAAGGTAAGTGTCTGGTGCTTGCAATTTGTTAAACGAGGTGCTTGAGTTTATCAGTGGTGCTGAACTGACTTTGGTTCCTTGCTGCAGGCACTTGGATCAAGTTTGCAGTCACTGGTGCAATCATATGAGAAAGGCGCAGCTCCATCTACCTCTGCAGACAAGTCTGTCCCCACAAGCACCACTACCAAGACGGAGGAACAGAAGGAGAGTGGTGCAGGTCCTGAGACACAATGGAGATCAGAGTATAGACTGATGAGTGAGCATACATATGTGCATCATGTATGAAAGGCTACTCAGCTTGGGCTGAATACAATGGTAAACTTTGCTCAGCTATAAATGGAGATCATGTACACATTCATTTCATTTACCAGGCATTGCTCCCACTGCATGATCTCATTTCCTGCCATGATCGAGCAGGCAGTACCATGTGAGGTCACGACTACTCCAACTGCAGGCACGTCCATCCTTACAGGTACCACGACTGGAGGAGAAACACAAGGAGAGTGGTCAAGGTACATATTTTGACACTTGTTTTCACCCACACCACAAAACATGTTGGGAATGTACACGGCTATGAATGGTACGGTAAGTATGTACATTTGCACTTCAGTGACCTGGCATTGGTCCCATCGCCTCAACTCGGATTCTGCACAAAACAGAATCAGGCAGACAGACACGGTATTTTACAAGAATGTCACAAGAAATCGATACTCGATCTCGACCTAACAAGAACCACGAAGCAGCAGCGTGCAAAAGGGAAAGTACTCACTGTTGGGCAACAACCCACGCAGAGTAAATCATTCCAGGGATCCAAAAGCAGAGTGTGAGTAGAATAGAGATCTGCACATGAATCACAGAGTAGGATGATCCACCATATCGACGTGGGCTCCCGCAACAAAAGCAAAGAGTTACTACACGTCCATCCGGAACTCTCAGCGTGCAAACAAAGGAGAAAAACTATTCCGTACCCAGAATTCGTATCCGCACTCCTTCTTCATGAAGGTTCCAAGAGGTGGAAGAAAGACGGTCGCGATAATTGCACCCGCATTCCAGCAATCTGACATTTTGCTTAAGCGTCTGCTTTTTAGCAAAAGCAAAAACGAAAAGGAGAGAATGGTTAACAAAAGATCACGCATCGGCTCTCATAAATAGTCGCTGAGTAGCAGGTGCTCATTGAGACGTGATCGCAAAAATCGCGTGGCACAGATCTGACAAGCTAACCGCACCTGGAGGAGCGTTGGACGCAGTGTTTACGGTGGGTGACCCCTAATATACAGAAATTAACAAGATGACACGGTGATACGAATCTAATAGTAAATGGTCCTCACGGTGGACGGACTGGGAGTATAGAAGAACGACAAATCGACAAGACTTACTTTAAGACTGGGAGTATGCCCACCTACGCTCGTTATGGCTACTACACTGTACTGCTGGCAGTTCCGAGGCTACCTTGATATTCACGTTTAACTTCAATTGCCAGTCTGAGTCGACCTTCACATGAAATGGAAACTTTGAGAGGCTAGTAACCACCACATTTGGACACTAGAGCTTGAACACGATGGCTTGGAACGTTTCCGCGCGGTGGGAAGCGGTTCTGAGGCTTCACCGTTTGGCACCGCGACGAAATTTTATAAACCGCTCAAAGCGAACACAGAGCATTCAGTGTTCACAGGTGCTTGCACATTCTTGAGAATTTCCCGTCCTCGAGAATTCCGCGGATATTTTGTACGTGCAAGGTCCTCCTGATTCTTGAACGCCTCAGCAACGGCGTCACCTTTGTGCGTGCTACTGGTCCTTATTTTCGTCGCCAGCACTGCGTAATCTCCATTCGCAATCAAATCTTCCCCAGCCGTTCCACCTGGTGTTAGTATCGGCACGTTATCGTCGTTTCCACGCGTTTCGAAACCGACTTCCGCGTTTCCGCGTCAGCGGTAATTTCGGCTGAATGGTACAAGACAGTGAGTAGATTAGGAAGAACACACCGTCGAGCAACACATAGGAAGAAGGTTTCGGCAGATCAGGAAGACGGTTTCGACGAGCAACTATTCCCCAGATTCGTCTCTCCTGCTGGAGTTTGCTCACAGGGGGACCACACCTTTCCGTCACTCGTTCCACCCCTTCTCACCCGTCTCCACGCCCTTTCCACCGCTCTTAACCATTCTCGTTTCAGAATGGCGGCCACGCAGGAGTCGGTGTGTAGGCGCTGCAGAACGCTGTTTAAGCGGGAAGAAAACAGCCAAGAGGCGTGCAGATTCCACCCCAAGATGTTTGTGAGCCGCAAGCATGACGATCAAAAGAGGTTAGTATGTGCTAACAGAGCATTAGGGGAGAAAGGGAAGAAGTGGAAGAATTTAGAGGCGTGCTGGTTCCAAGTGTCTGTGAGCCGCAAGCACGACGACCCAAAGATGTGCGTGCGGGCTGGAAGTGTAATAGAGGGGGCTGGGGAGGGTGGTTGGGGAGGGTGCATTGTTGATTTTAGCCAAGAGGCATTTCGGTTTCCTCCCCCCTCCTCTTTCCTGCCTCTTTCCCCCGTCCAACACCCACAGCTACTATGAGCTAAAGGATGGTGACCCGGAGTATCCGGCTCGTTTCTACGACTGCTGTCACAGTGCCACGACCCCCTTATCCCCCCCTTTCTCTCAATGTCCACAGGTACTGCGAGCTGAAGGACGGCGATTCGGAGTATCCAGCTCGCTCCTATGACTGCTGCCAAAATGTCACAACCTCCTTGTCCCACCTTCTGTTTCCCACAGGTACTACGAGCTGAAGGACGCGGATTCGGAGTACCCAGCTCGCTCCTATGACTGCTGCCAGAATGTCACAACCTGCTTGTCCCACCTTCTGTTACCCACAGGTACTACAAGCTGAAGGACGGCGACCCGGAGTACCCAGCTCGCTTCTACGATTTCTGTCATAGTGCCACAACCACCTTATCCCTTCCTTTCTCTCAACACCCCCAGGTACTACGAGTTGAAGGACGGCGATCCGGAGTACCCTGCTCGTTTCTACGACTGCTGTGGTGCTGAGGATCCCAGTGCGCCTGGATGCACCACCGCATGCCACGTGTCGTATGATGATTGAACCAGTCAGAGGATCCCAGTGCCCCTGGATGCACCACCGCTTGCCACGTGTCGTACGATGATGAAGTTCTTACAAGCAGTGCTTGAAAAGAGAACGAAGGGTGGTTGCGTTGAGGAGAGAAGGACAGAGAGTACGAGGGGAGAAGATTTTTATTCCTAAGCAGCTGTATTGCGTAGTACCATGTGTAGGCATGACACAGGTTCCATGGGGGCCTGTGCGAGAGGGTCCTGGGAGCGCACAATTGGTATGGCTTATCAAATCACATATGAATGCATACAAAAACTACGCGAATCGCGTCAAAAATAAGATATCCCATCACTCCGCTTTAAGATCCTGTCACCATACCCAGGGCTCTGAATGTCTGCTCTGCTGCTACAGCTCAAGGTGCTGCACATGCTGCTGTCTCTCCTGCATTTGCTACTGCTGTGGTTGCTGTTACTGCTGTGAATACCAGGCCACTACCACCACTACACGGGTACTGCACCAATGTGGTTACCACCACCCATGTGAGAAAGCCGCAACATTGTTACGATGATCACCAATGCTTCCTTCAAATCCCCTCCACTACAGCCCCTTATCCCCATGCACAAACTGCCGAACCTCGTCATACATGACAAGAATAAATGCCGCCCCAGTGCCTCGGAGGATATTGCTGAAGAGCCCCTTATAGAACCCCAGCACGCCCTCTTGCCGGTACACATGCTTCCAGCACGCCCACGTGCTCTTGAATACCACTATCTTCCGCCCTGGTTGCTGCTGCTGCTGTTGCTGCTGTTGGTGGTGCTGCTGCTGAGCCTTGCCCTGTGGTTGACCCGGTTGACTCAGTTGACCAGATTTATCTGCTCGACTCAGTTGACTTAGTTGACCCGGTTGACCTGGTTGACCAAGTGCAGGGCTCTGCAGCTGCACTTGCTGTACCTGGTGGCTGTCAAACGAGTGGCTTAAAGGACACGCAGTAGGCCCGGACACTCGCACATTGGGTGTTTGTGCAGCATGCACGCTGGCAACAGCTGGGGAATTCACCGGATTCACACCAACCGTTGCTTCAGCTCCTGCAACGGCTGCAGCTAAACCCATCCCTGCTGCTGCTCCTCCCGACCCCACTGCACTTAACACCGTGCCTGCTCCCCTTGCTGCTCCTGCTGCTGCTCCCCCTGCTGCTCCTGCTGCTGCTTCTACTGCTGCCAATCCTCCAGGCCCTGCTCGCCCTGCTTCCCCTCTCCTGGGCTTCGCAAGCCCTGCTTGCATCATCATGCGGTGTCGCACAGTGTCAAACGGGTAAGACACCACACTAGCCGTGGTCGTTGCTGCCTGTGCCAGCATCCATCTCAACCAGAATGGCGCGTGCCCCAACCCGTCCCCATTCCCAATCCCATCCTCCTCTCCAGCCCTTCCTTTTTCTCCTCTCATCACCCCGCTGTTTGCTCCACTCGTTCCTCCCCCCACTAACGCTGCCCCTCCTCCTCCCCCTCCTCCCTCTCCTCCATCCCCTCTTCCTCCCGCTCCTCCTCTCCCTCCCCCGCCGTGACCCTTCAACAGCAGCTGCTTGGCACTATCGAACCCGCCAAAGTACAAACTCCTATGCACGATGATCCCATGTACGGACGCAGGAAATCCGCGATATAAGCCTTTGATCCCCTCTGCTCGCCAGAGCGCCGCAATAACGGATCGCATGCCTGCAAACTGCCGGCGCGTGCCTATATCGGTGGCTAGGCGCGTGTGCGCCACGTCTAGGGGGTAAGTGACTAGGAGGCTCGTGGCTCCTGCTGCTGCGCCTGCCAGAAAGTTTCCCGCTGCGATTCGCGTGGCGGAAGGGTCTATGAGTAGGTGCGAGGGGGCGAAGAGAACGCGATAGTAGTCCTGTGTGCGGGAGGAGGGGGAGGACAAAGGCGGGAGGGGGGGGACGAAGGAGGGATGGGGGAGACGCAAGCGGGAGGAGGGTGGGGTTTGAGCAATTGAGTTAACTCAAACGTAGGTGAGACGGGGCGAAGAGAACGCGACAGTAGTCCTGCGCGCAGGAGGGGAGAGGGGGGGGGTGTGGGGGGGAGGGTTGGAACCGGGGCCGGGAAACCATGTTGTGGAAAGGGGGTTTGACAGAAAGATAGTGGAAGGGCAGGTGAATTCTGAGTGGATTCAAAAGAGGCAGAAAGACAAAAAGACAGAGAGATGGTAGGCATCACTGTCACTTACACTTGGCTATGAGATGCAAATGCGAATCCCTTACCAACTGATGTCATGGACGTTACAGTTACAAACGTCACGGACTGACCTTGAACGCGAAGTTGAGCGCGAGCGACGGGTAGTAGAGCATGACACTCGTCACGTTCCCTCGCCACAGCGCCCAGACCGCACAGACCTCTCATTGACTGACCTTAAACGCGAAGTTGAGCGCGAGAGACGGGTAGTAGCGCATGACACTCGTCCCGTTCCCGCGCCACAGCGCCCAAAAGCCTTCTTCCTTCACGATCGTCGTGACCGCGTCCACGAACCCGCGGTACCGCCGGTGCTGCCCCGCGAGAATCGCGGCGTTGCTGTCCTGCGTCTGCAGCAGCAGCTTCACGCGCTCGATCGGCGCCACGATCGTGTGCGACACGCCGCCTAGCGCGCCGCCGAGTGCGAGGTCCAGCGCGAATGACTGCCAGCTCGCGCCTTGCTGCTGCCGCCACCGCGCCAGCTGCTGCGCCGCCTGCGCCGCCGGGACCGCCGGAGCCGCCGGGCCCGCCACCGCTTGCGCTGGCGCTGGTGCGGTTGCCGATGGTGTTGCTGGTTCCGATGCTAGGGCTTCCGTCGTTTCGCCGCTGGTGGTGCTTCTTAGGGACATGACGCTCAGCTGCAGCCGTCCGATTGTATCCGTAGAAGGTGAATGGAGGTGAGAGTGTATCCGCGCTATTGCATGCTGGACTGGCCTATACAGTCCCAGATTTTGCCGCGTGGAGGGATGGCTTGAAAGAAACCGCGGAGCTGTTGATAACCGGTCAATTACTGCAGAATGGTCACCACCTTGACAATTCTGGTAACCACCACAACAACTGTGGTAACCTGTTACACTCGGCTGTGCAGGCGAGGAAACGGCGTCTGGCCTTCTGCTTTCAGGAGGAAGAGCCTGCGAGTGCAGGTGGATCGAATCTGCCGCACATGACGGCGCATTCGACGGCGCACTTGACTGCGAAAAGCGCAGCCGATCCGTATGCATCGTTGCGATCCGATTGATCTGATTTGATTTGCTGATGTCCTTATTATATTTCAGACCTAATTCTGATGCAGTCGAGAGCTCATTCGACAGATACGATCCGGCTGTGTATTTCAGCAAGTTGAAAATGGTAATCACGACTCACGATCAGGTGTGATGACTCACAAGCGGGAGCGGGTATCGAAGTCGTGATCATGCCTCGGCGACGTGAATTCGAGACTCAAAACGGCGAGTTCAAGATAAGAGCCATGGACGCTTCAAAGCCAGGCGTCCTGTAAAAAAACCTAGTTAACCGCCCGAAGGAGACTTTTCCGAGCAGCTAACTTGGTAATCTCTTGGTTGGTACTGTAGGTACCCAGGGGATAACTACCTTCACCAGATAGCTGCATCTGGCCTAGAGATTAGTCCGTCCGAGCTTGGCCTGGTTTCGCCCGAAGCTGGTAAGCTGGTTTCAAACCGAAGAGGTTTGGGAGAAAAGGCTTGGCTACCTGGTGCTTTCCGGCGAGGCTCGGCATGAACGTGAGCGGCTGGTATGGGATCTCCAAGGTGATGGGGATTTGGCGCCACGTGACAAATAGCGAGGCCCAGGTTCAGAAGCCGCATTCGTCAAACCCTGCTGCGTTACGAAGAAAGAAACCGGATGTTTACAACCAGCGACTATGATCAAGCTTGACTTTATGCCTGATTGCCGTAATCCATGGAGGCGTTCCACATGGTCGCGTGAAAGGGGCGCAAAAGCAAAATGTGGAGGAGGAAAAATCTATTACATGATTTCCTTCAAGTATTATTTGATTCCACATCCGTACATCTCAGCACCCTGGCCTGGAACCTACACAACCAACTACCCAAGCCTTGGATCCATCCCGTGTTGCCAGACATACACCATTTCATCCCATCCGCACGACACCATAAGCCCTTCAACCAACGGGCTCCAATCCAACCCCACCGCAAACTCCGTATGATGATCCAACTTCCCTAGTAGCGCATCTTCCGGAGCTCTAAAATCCCACGAGCATACGGTCATGTCATACGACGCCGAAGCAAGCAACGGCTCATGGAACGGCGAGCACCGCACGCGCCGAACCGCATACGCATGCCCTTGCAACCGAGCCAGAGGCTCGGGACGGCCGGGCCCAGGCCGGGGCGCACGGATGTCCCACATGCAGATGGTTCGGTCGACCGAAGCTGTGGCGATGAGTGACCCGCCGCCGTACTTGTTCCAGTCACAGGAGAGGATTTCCATGTCGTGGGCTGGGAGAACGAGCACTGATCGCGGCTCACGGAGGTCCCAGATGCGGAGAGTGCAATCGCCAGATGCTGATGCGAACACATCAGGGTGGGCAGGGTTCCTATGGAGGTGGGGAGAGGATGAAGATAGAGGGAGGAGAGGAAAGGAGGGGGGGAAACGAAATGAGAGGGCGGAGAGGACAAAGGAGGGAGGAGATGAAGGGAGGGGAGGATACGAACGGAGAGGGCGGAGAGGACAAAGCGGATGAGGTCACATGGAAGAGTTGAAAAGAGGACTTCGATGTGATGGGCTGGGGTGAGCACCGATTGCAGCTCACTCTGACTGCGCGCTGAATGCACACTGAATGCTCCTATGGAATGTTTAGACTTGATCAACAATATTTCTTCAGGATAAAGTCTCAAGACATGTCCCATACCATACAGCAGAGTAGACGCAGTATGTGTGCTCCCTGAACGTCCTCAGAGACTGCCCCGACTCCAACGCCCATAGCTGAAAGGAATGAGAGGGCGCATGACAGAGGCGAAAGCAGGATACTGAGTTGAGCTAAAGGACTCCAATGCTCAGCGTTGGAAGGAGGAATGACGAGAGACAGATGCAGCTGGAGGAGAATAGCATGCTTTTGAGGCGCCTCAAAAGTCGGACCAGACTGAGATAAGCTCTGCAGCGGAAGGGACTGGTGCAGAGGACGAGATGGGAGTGATGCAGAACGGTTTAGTGACCCAGACTTGGTGCGGTTACTGTGAAGTGCAACCCATTGCAGTTGCAGTTACCACCGAACCTGGTTCTACCATCCCTGCCATCCTTGTCATTCTGATTGTGTCACACCTTGATTGTGTCATCCCAGGATGATGAGAGGAAGGAGTCGCGGCGCACAACGTTCCAGTCCACTGATTGCCTGGATGAAAGGGGTAAAGTGGGAAATGAGTAAAGAAGGAAAGGGAAAAGGATTTATTTAATTATTTTTTCTTGTTGCAGCGTGAGATGGGGAGAGGTGAGATGGGGGGGTTGTGGAAAATCGAGACAAGGTCAGTAGGCAAGGAATGGTGGGTTATATGCAGGGAATAGACTGGCAGGGAATCGGAATACGTACTCAAGCGGGTAGCGGATCAGCATTAATAAGTACATTGAAGAGGGCAGGGGATACACACACTTCTCGAATGTGCTCTTCCAAGCTGCGGATGGGGTTGCTGGCGGGAGGGAAAGCCAAGTCCCATATCTGCACCAGACGAGAGCGAGAGGACAGATGCATGCGGAAGGGAATGTTCGGACGGAGGATGATATGAGGAGGGAAAGTTGTGAACAGGATAGCCGGATTATGTTGAAAAACAATCTTGCAGAGAGAGCCAAGTTTCATATCAAGAGAAGGAAAAAGAAAGTTGAAACAGCAGTAAGGGTGCGTGTGCAGTGTGCACAAGTCAATCACCACTCACCTTGACACTGCCATCGCCACTGGCAGACACAAGAAGATTCTCATTCGCCTGCAGCGGAGGGAAAAGGGGGGAGGGGGGGTGGGGCCGGAGGAAATAATGAGAAAATGATTTCCTTTCGCATCATCTCATACGCCTATGCAAGGCCCTGTGTGTTGACCCATCAAAACAGAGTCACAACATCTGCCACCTTTTTATGCCTATGCCCCACCCCACCCAACTCACTGCAGCAGCTGCAAAGCAAACGACCCCACACCGACACACTGTACCAACACTGAACCACACTGCACCGCACAACATCTCTCCTCACTGCAGCACTAGTCGTACAGCCCGTCTGCCGTGTCATACGCCATCACCTCCACCAACCCACTGCAGCAGCCTGCAATGCAACAACTCTACTGATTGCACTGCGCCGCACTGAACCGCACTGCACCGCACTACACAGCATCTCACCTCACTCCAGCAGCAGTCATAAAGCCCGTCTGCCGTGTCATACGCCATCACCTCCACCAATCCGCCTCCTGGGGAGAGCTGAGGCACCAGCAACGGGTTGTGGGGATTGAAGGGGGAGAACACATGGCGAAAAGAAGGACAGGAAGAGAAAGGAGGGGGAAAGGGGGGCCTGCGGGGTTGGAGGCTGATGCAACGACTTTCTAGGGAGTTGGACACAATGACACATTCTGAGCATTTTACCAAGTAATGTGGGGCCAACGACACCAAGGTTGAGTGCGGTGCAGTGCGGTACCTCGAGTACGTGCAGACGGCCATTGCCAATGATGCCGAAGTTCTGAGCCGTCGCGACAGCGAGTCGATTCTCCACAAACGGACTGAAGCGAGCCTGGGGTGTATAAGGGGGAAAATGTAGAAGCACGAAGGTGGGTAGGAGGCGAGGAGTGTTGAGACATGTAAGAACTTGTGCTGAAGCGATTCTGGGGCACACAGTAGCGAGGAACTTGTGCTGAAGCGATTCTGGGGCACACAGTAGGAAAATGGAGGAAGCAAGCACAAAGAGGAAGCTGAGCAGTCAGGAGGGACGAGTCGGCAATCGTAGGGTGAGAGACAGGCACAAGCGGCTAGCCTAAGTACCATAGGAGAAACGGCGGAAAGTGTAACGGGGGGGTGAGGTTTGAAACGTTTCAATACGGGGAACTGAAGCCGCTCGTTAATCAGCTCGCCTGCTTGTCATCCTCGCATCGCATTTCAGGCGTTTTTTGCTTTCGTTAATCCAGGCTAAAATGGAGAACATGGATCTTTATATCGTGTACCGAGTATCCATTAAATGCGGTCTTGAAACGAGGCATCGCTGCAAATTGCTGCTCTCCCCACAGCAACGCTCCAGGCGGTCTTGAAGCTCTGAACAACTGGCCTAGCGGTCGACTCCCAGAACGGTCAATCCGCAGAACTTTCGATCGGACCAGATAGCGATCTTATTGGCTGGGAAGCTCGACTCCCAGAAAGAAAAATTGGCCGATAGCTACTAGATTCAGGTAATGTAAGTTGCCGGTGACGGGAGATAAAGAGCTGGAAAGGCAAGCATTCTCGTGTGGTGCTCTCAAGAACGAAGCGGAAAATGCAGGAGGCTATTCGAAAAACTCCTTCGAGAAGGCTTGCTAGCTGCTACGCTGAAGAGCAAGGAATAAGTGCGAAGAAATTTTAGTGCTGCTGGTAGTTGACACGTCAGCATGAGGTGGCAATGGACGAAGACAGCAAGAAAGGAGAAAAGCCCAGACATTCGAGAGGTTGATTGATATACAGACGAGCTTTGCGAATTGGCTTGATAGACACGAAACATTTGCAACGAGAGTAGCCTCTGTAACTAGAACTCGCTTTTTGCGAGTCATCAGAAAAAAAGCAACGAGTCATCGTGCAGAAACTATTCGCGAAAGGTCTTGCGAAAATGACATGCGTGTCTTACTGCAACAGCGAGAACGTGGGCGAATTCCTTCCAAGCACAGGGAACTCTCTTTCTGGCAGATTCAGCATGAGAGACATCTCAAATATTCCATTCCCTTCTTCCATTCTTCCATTCAGTAGCAGATTTGGTGATTTCTTGCCATGTCCCTGACACTCCGCTGATTCTGACAGAGTTCATTAGTTAATTCTGACAATTCTTTACAATTACTACCAATTTTCCTCACAAACCTGGTTCTAATTTCCTGTTATCGGGGACGCTCTTTCGTATGAGAGTTTGCTGACCCGGCCATACTAATAGCTGACTCGACCATACGAATAGCTGGCCCGACCATTCTAATAGCTGGCGCGACCATCCAAAATAGCTGGCTCGAGCATACTAATTTCTGGCCCGATACAGAATGGAGACAATTGCCGCGGCTCCTCTCACTCGATTTCTTTCGGAGAAGCTCGTAATACATCGCAATGTCCTTGGACTGACATGTCATGAACCGCGATTTCCGCCGAGTAGACAGGCCTCCGCGTTCCGCCTTACACATCAGCTCGTCTTTGTACCGTTTCCGGTTCGTCCAACTCGCAAGCAAGCATTCATGAGGTTGAATCAGGCGAGAGGCTCACTCGCTGGCAGGCTGAACTCGCATGATCCTGACCGTTCGATTGAGATCCCACGTGTGTCGGATCAACAGGAAGCGACGAATCCAGCAGTCGAAGATGAACGACACAAAATTCTATGCGACATAGTCGCACGAGCTCAGAAGGGGAAGAAAATGCGAGAATTGGGACAGGAGAACGGAAGGGGCACAGAAGAGGACAGGAGAAAAACTGAAGACAGATTTGGTGTCATGGCTTCTGCCACCACTACTGCTACCTCCAATATCAAACCCAAATCCAAACTCAAAGACAGGATCAATTCCCGTTTCGAATCCAGTACCAATATCGCTGCCACAGATGCCTTCCTTTCTGACCTGCCTACAGCAGCAGAGGCCCGTTTCATCTCCTCCCTCCCACTTGAAATGCTCATTTCAGCCGCTACAACAATCCGCGACCAGCGAGAGGACCCCCATATAGTCACATTCTCGCCCAAGGTCTTCATTCCAGTCACATTCCTCTGCAGGGACACATGCGCCTACTGCACCTTTGCCAAGCCTCCGGATCAGGTTCGGCGCGTGTACATGACCGAAGCTGAGGTGCTGGAAGTGGCTCGGGCCGGAGCTGCGGTCGGGTGTGTGGAGGCTCTGTTTACTCTGGGTGATAAACCAGAGCTGAGATATGAGGAGGCGAGGAAAGAGGTCAGTCAATATCTCTTTTTCCCTTACCATTTTACGGGTTTCCCACCTAGCCGTCAGAGTGAACAGTGCACAGTGCTGTTCAGTCCCCTAACCCCATGTGTCCTTTCAATTCCTATGTCATTCCAGCTGCAGGAGCTGGGATTCGCCTCCACCATACATTACGTCGCACACCTAACCTACGTCGCACACCTAACCTACGTCGCACACCTAACCGCCAGACTGTTACAGTAATGTTAAATGCTGTTCCAATTCCTCCCCTGCACTGCACCTGTTCCCATAAAATTTTGTTTCCAGCTGCAGGAGCTGGGATTCGCCTCTACCATACACTACGTCGCCCATTTAGCAGCCAGAGTGCTACAGTGCACCGGTCTCCTTCCACACGTCAACGCAGGCACCATGGGGGCGGCAGACCTTGTCCTTTTGCGCCACGTGGCGGCCAGCCAGGGGCTGATGCTGGAGAGCACGGCCGAGGGGCTGATGAAGCCCGGTGGGGCCCACTGGGGATGTCCAGATAAGGAGGCGAGTGTGAGGCTGGCTACAATCAAAGCTGCTGGTGAGTTGGCAAGGCTTGTGGGCGTCTGGGAGTAGTGCAGAGCAGAGGGTACGGTGAAGCTCGGTGGGGCGCACTGGGGGTGTCCGGATAAGGAGCCGAGTGCCAGGCTGGCAACGATTGAAGCTGCTGGTGAGTTGATTACTGTAAGGGAGTGCAGAGGGGCTGATGCAGCCTGGTGGGGCGCACTGGGGGTGTCCGGATAAGGAGCCGAGTGCCAGGCTGGCAACAATCGAAGCTGCTGGTGAGTTAAGTGAGGTGATGGATGCTCAATGGAAGGTGAGGTCCAGGAAGGAAGGAGGGCATTTGATTGCTGAGTGGTGAAGCCCGGTGGTGCGCAGTGGGGGTGGCCAGACCAGATAAGAAGGCGAGTGTGAGACTGGCAACGATTGAGGCCGCTGGTGGGTTGATGAAGGAAAAGGGTGTTCAGCAGAGGGTGAGGTGCATGGAGGCAGGAGGGTAAGGAGCCGAGCGTCAGTCAGGCTGTCAACAATCGCGGTTTCTGGAGAGTTTGTCGGGGCAAAGGGTGAGAGGTTGCCTGATGATGCAAAGAGAGCACCGCACTGGGGCGCACAGGCAGAAGGACAGTGTAGCTTGACTTGAAGCCTGATGGGGCGCACTGTGTGGGGGTGTCCGGATAAGGAGCCGAGCGCCAGCCTGACAACGATCGAGGCTGCGGGCGAGGTTGATGGGAAATGTGTAGTGTAAGAGGTCCTAGTGAAATGTGTAGGGTGCGGTGCAGCAAAGTACAGGCAGGACAAGCGTCTCTCATCCCCTCTTCACTTCCCCTCACACTCCTGCACTTCTCTCTGACCCATACTCTCACACCAGGTGCAGCTCGCATACCCTTTACCAGCGGTCTCTATGTGGGCATAGGCGAGTCAAGGAACGACAGACTAAGGGACCTCTTAACCCTACGGGACCTACACTCCCCCCGCTACGGGCACATACACGCGATCATTATCCAGCCATTTCCCCCCTCCATTGCTTTCACCTAACCCTACGGGACCTACACTCCCCCCGCTACAAGCACATACAGGAGATCATCATCCAGCCGTTCCGAGCCAAGGAGCAGACGAGGATGGGACGGTTGATCATCCAGCCATTTTCTCCCCTCACACCTTCTCACTCTTTGCTCACCCTCTTCTCACTCATCGCGCTCTGCAGGTGCTGCCCGTATACCCTTTACAAGCGGTCTCCTTGTGGGTATAGGCGAGACAAGGGCCGACAGATTAAGAGACCTGCTAACACTTCGAGACCTTCACTCCCGCTACGGGCACATACAGGAGATGATCATTCAGCCGTTCCGAGCCAAGGAGCAGACGAGGATGGGGGGGTGGGGCCATGCAGAAGTGGAGGAGCTGCTGTGGAGCGTGGCGATGGCGAGAATCATGTTTGGGGCTCATATGAGCATCCAGTCTCCACCCAACCTGAGGTGAGGGGACAGCACGCACACACACACACACACACACACACACACACACACACACACACACACACACACACACGGACGAGGGGGAATGGGGCCATGCAGAAGCAGAGGAGGTGCCGTGGAGTGTGGCGATGGCGAAAATCGTGTTTGGTGCTCATATAAGCATCCAGTCGCCGCCCAACCTGAGGTGAGTGACAGAGAGAAGAAGTGAGCAGAGGAGAGTGGACTTCCGTTCGACAATTCTACAAAAGTAACTTCCATCTCACCCCCACCTCGTGGTGTGTGGCAGTGCGGGGGACTTGGCTCAGAGTGCACTCATAGCAGCGGGGATGAATGACTGGGGAGGGATCTCGCCACTAACAGCCGGTCTCTTTGTAATTATAAAGCCCCTTACCCCATTTTTCCTCCCCGTTTTGGGGTGTGTGGCAGTGCGGGGGACTTGGCTCAGAGTGCACTCATAGCAGCGGGGATCAACGACTGGGGAGGGATCTCTCCAGTCACAGTTGACTGGGTCAACCCTGAGGTGAGGCGCTGCTGTGTGTAGGGCTAAGAAGGTACTTTTGGACTTGCAAGAGCCTCCTTCCTGATCGTGAGTTACTGGGTGCTAAGGTACCGTTGAACTGTCGAAGTAGAACAGGTGGGCTGCGGAGGCCTTATTTCCAAGGGTGCTAAGGGTGCTACTGTGAACTAGTTTCAGCTCCAAAAAGCCTTCCTTCCTGATCGTGAGTTACTGGGTGCCAAGGTACTGTTGACCAGGTCAACACTGTCTCTTGCTCACCCTTCTCCCTCCGCCCCCCACCCCTCTCCCCCCACCCCCCCTCGCTTCGTCCGCCCTCTCAGGCCCCCTGGCCGCACATTCACGAGCTGGCGGCAGTCACTGCAGCTTCTGGGAAGGTTCTCGTGCCTCGCCTGCCGGTCTACCCCACCTTTCTGTCACTGCACAACCAAGACACGTGGCTGGTGAGAAAGGTGACACGTGGGTGATGAATATGGTGCCACGTGTCTGGTCTGGTCAGCAATGGCCTTGCAAACACTGGTGCCCCTGCCCCCTGCCGTCCCTCCCCTGGGCTGGGCATGAACGGATCCACATTCGTTTTCCATGTAGATCCACATCCTATCCTGCAGCCGTTGACTTTGGAGTCGACTCAAAAGTCAACTCCCCTGGGCATGAGCGGATCCACATTCGTTTTCCATGTAGATCCACATCCTCTCCTGCAGCCGTTGACTTTGGAGTCGACTCAAAATTCAACTCCCCTGGGCATGAGCGGATCCACATTCGTTTTCCATGTAGATCCACATCCTCTCCTGCAGCCGTTGACTTTGGAGTCGACTCAAAAGTCAACTCCCCTGGGCATGAGCGGATCCACATTCGTTTTCCATGTAGATCCACATCCTCTCCTGCAGCCGTTGACTTTGGAGTCGACTCAAAAGTCAACTCCCCTGGGCATGAGCGGATCCACATTCGTTTTCCATGTAGATCCACATCCTCTCCTGCAGCCGTGCATCCATGTCCGTTTCCCAGCCTCTCCTTCTCCCTGCCGCCCTCTGCCTGCCTGCCAGGACCCCGTGGCCCTTCCCTGCGTCCTGCAACTCTCAGACAGATCAGGCTATGCAAAGGTGCCAGCAGTGGGCTCCTGGAACGCTGCTGCCCCTGCCACCTGGTTCGAATGCCTTGCTCCAGCGTCCTAAGTTTCCTGTCCCTGCCTCTGTATCTCGCCCGCCCTCCCTGCCACCAGGACCCCATGGCCCTTCCCTGCGTCCTGCAACTCTCAGACAGATCAGGCTATGCAAGGTGCCAGCAGTGGGCGCCTGGAACGCTGCTGCCCTTGCCTGCCACCCAGTGCACACAACCACACCGTGGGTCAACGAACCCAGATCAACTCCTCTTGAACCGCAAGGGGTCTGAGGCCGCAAGTGCATGCCGATTCCCTCCTGTCTCTGCTGCTCCCTGTCCCCCCTCCCTCCCTGCCACCAGGACCCCGTGGTCCTTCCCCACGTGCTCCCGCACTCAGACGGTTGCGGCTATGCGGGGTGCCAGCAGTGGGCGCCTGGGACGCTGCTGCCCCTGCCGCCTGGTGCAGAGGGCTTGCTTGTAGCAGCCCCTCACTGTGTCCCTGCTGCCCTCACTTTGTCTCTCCCTGCCTCCAGGACCCCGTGGTTCTTCCCCACATCCTCCAGCACTCAGACGGTTGCGGCTATGCGGGGTGCCAGCAGTGGGCGCCTGGAACACTGCTGCCCCTGCCACCTGGTGCAGAGGGCTTAATAGCAGCAGCAGCAGCAGCATCTAAGTCTCCTGTCTCTGCCCCTGTCTCTGCCCCTGTCTCTGCCCCTGTCTCTGCCCCTGTCTCTGCCCCTGTCTCTGCCCCTGTCTCTGCCCCTGTCTCTGCCCCTGTCTCTGCCCCTGTCTCTGCCCCTGTCTCTGCCCCTGTCTACGGCCCTGTCTCCCTGCCACCAGGACCCCATGGTCCTTCCCCACATTCTACAACTCTCAGACAGCTCTGGCTATGCGAGGTGCCAGCAGTGGGCGCCTGGGACGCTGCTGCCCCTGCCACCAGGTGCAGAGGGCTTGCTGGGAGCAGCTGCAGGATTAGCAGCAAGAGGAGATTCAGACGCAGCAGAAGCAGCAGCAACAGCGGCAGCAGCAGCAGAAGCAGAAACAGCAGAAGCAGCAGAACCAAAGGATTTCAGCAGAGGGGGATGTATAGCTGTAGATGCAGATGGACTGCTGACTGGGACGGATAGACGTGCCCACGTGGAAGTTGATGACGTGGAAAGTACACAGAGTGACAAGGCTATGCGAATGCATGACGTGGCACGAGCAAGCGACGACGTGGCGCGCGCTCTTGAACGAGCTCTTGAGGGACGCTTGTTGTCTGAGGTGAGTCTATATGCATCGCCCCTTTTCTCTTGCCCCTTTTCTCCTGCCCCTTTTCTCTTGCCCCTTTTCTCTTGTCCCTTTTCTCCTGCCCCTTTTCTCCTGGCCCTTTTCTCTTGCCCCTTTTCTCCTGCCCCTTTTCTCCTGCCCCTTTTCTCTTGCCCCTTTTCTCCTGCCCCTTTTCTCCTGCCCCTTTTCTCTTGCCCCTTTTCTCCTGCCCCTTTTCTCCTGCTCCTTTTCTCTTGCCCCTTTTCTCTTGCCCCTTTTCTCTTGCCCCTTTTCTCTTGCCCCTTTTCTAGTGCCCCTTTTCTCCTGCCCCTTTTCTCCTGCACCTCATACGAGTCACTTATGAGATTTCTTAAAAGCGACTTCAATATTGCTGGAGGGACGCACATTGTCTGAGGTGAGTCTATGTGCATCGTTAGTTTCTCCTGTGCCTCATGCGACGTGAATTTTGAGTTGATTCGATAGGCACCTCATGCACCTCATGCACCCCATGCACCCCATGCACCCCATGCACCCCATGCACCCCATGCACCTCATGCACCCCATGCACCTCATGCACCCCATGCACCTCATGCACCCCATGCACCTCATGCACCCCATGCACCCCATGCACCCCATGCACCCCATGCACCTCATGCACCCCATGCACCCCATGCACCCCATGCACCCCATGCACCCCATGCACCTCATGCACCCCATGCACCCCATGCACCTCATGCACCCCATGCACCCCATGCACCCCATGCACCCTATGCACCCCATGCACCCCATGCACCTCATGCACCCCATGCACCCCATGCACCCCATGCACCCTATGCACCCCATCCACCTCATGCACCCCATGCACTCCATGCACCCCATGCACCCCATGCACCCCATGCACCTCATGCACCCCATGCACCCCATGCACCCCATGCACCCCATGCACCCCATGCACCCCATGCACCTCATGCACCCCATGCACCCCATGCACCTCATGCACCCCATGCACCCCATGCACCCCATGCACCCCATGCACCCCATGCACCCCATGCACCCCATGCACCTCATGCACCCCATGCACCTCATGCACCCCATGCACCTCATGCACCCCATGCACCTCATGCACCCCATGCACCCCATGCACCCCATGCACCCCATGCACCTCATGCACCCCATGCACCCCATGCACCTCATGCACCCCATGCACCCCATGCACCCCATGCACCCCATGCACCCCATGCACCTCATGCACCCCATGCACCCCATGCACCCCATGCACCCCATGCACCCCATGCACCCCATGCACCCCATGCACCCCATGCACCCCATGCACCTCATGCACCCCATGCACCCCATGCACCCCATGCACCTCATGCACCCCATGCACCCCATGCACCCCATGCACCCCATGCACCCCATGCACCTCATGCACCCCATGCACCCCATGCACCTCATGCACCCCATGCACCCCATGCACCCCATGCACCCCATGCACCTCATGCACCCCATGCACCCCATGCACCCCATGCACCCCATGCACCCCATGCACCTCATGCACCCCATGCACCCCATGCACCTCATGCACCCCATGCACCCCATGCACCCCATGCACCCCATGCACCTCATGCACCCCATGCACCCCATGCACCCCATGCACCCCATGCACCCCATGCACCTCATGCACCCCATGCACCCCATGCACCTCATGCACCCCATGCACCCCATGCACCTCATGTTGTGGTCGTTCACTTTCTGCACAGCAACTGATATCCTGTTTGTGTGCAACTTTAGAGGTGCCTCAGAAGTTACAATGTGATTGACTGGTATGCTGCTGATGTGTCATGATGCCCCATTACACATCAGACGGAGATAGTTCGGCTCTTCTCTGCACGCGGCACTGACTTCCATGCGGTGTGCCGCGCTGCAGATGGGCTGAGAGCGGTGGTGAGCGGTGACGTGGTGTCGTACGTGGTGAACCGCAACATCAACTACACCAACGTGTGCACCTATGCCTGCCAGTTCTGCGCTTTCAGGTACGTACGTCAAGCTGCCATGGTTGACATGTATGACAAGCTGCCACGTCGGGCATGCATATGATAGTAGCAGTCGCACAGGACACCTCAAACGCTTGGACCACATGGGCCTTCTCTGATTTTGAGTCTCCTAAAAAATGCGACACGTGCATGGGATAGTAGTAGTAGCAGTCACGCAAGGCGTCTCAAACACTTGGACCACATGGGCTTTCCCTGCATCGCCCATTCGTTGCATGCCTCTCTACATTGCATTGACCCCATTGCCTGTATGTCGCTTGTGATTGTAACGAGGTGAATTCTGATTCGACTTAGAAGTCACCTCAGTCAGTGCAATGCACCACTCCACAATGCATCGACCCCATTGCCTGCCCTCTGCGTGCTTCTATGCTAAGTGGCATCTTGGCTTTTGTTTGGTCTTCCTCCCTTTGCCTCCCTCGCTTGCCTCTACCTTTCATGCAGCAAGGGGAGATCAGCCGAGCGCCTAAGGGGCAAGCCATACCTGTGAGACCGCCCCCTTGCGATTGTGCCTTTTCGTGCTGTCATGCCACGTCATGTTGCCATGCTGTCATGTCATGCCACGTCATCCTGCCATGTTGCACATGCCACATCATCTTTGCAATGCTGCCTTTCTTTCTCTCATGCCTGCCCAGTCATCTCATACCATGTGCTGCAATGCCACATGCATTCTGTTCCACGTTACATGCACTGTGCACATGCCACGTGGCAGAATGTCTCTAGAGGAGATCAGCAGTCGAGCCAAGGAGGCATGGGAGAGAGGCGCAACAGAGGTCTGCATGCAGGTGTGAGCATTGGGAGCATGCTTAGATAAAAAAAAATCAATTCTAATGTAGTCTTCATTCGATCGTAGCCCTCGAAGCCTTCATCTTGCAGGTAGATTTTGAGAATTCTCAAAAACTTCCTAGAAGCCTTCATCAAGTTGTGCAGATGAGACGATTTCCGAGTCGACTTGAAAATCGTTGTGGCACTGCCTCTCCTCCCTCATTGCCCCCTCTGCACCCTAACCTTGCCCCCGTCCCCAGGCCCCAGAGAGGCATGCACCCGGACTCCACAGGAGAAACCTACCTCTCCACCTCCCCATCGTCAAGCCTCGAAGGCCCTGCCTCTCCTCCCTCGTGCTCCCCTGTCTCTCTATCCCTGTGTGCCCCAATTCTTACCCCCCAGGGAGGCATACACCCGGACTTCACAGGGGAGACCTACCTCTCCATCCTCTCGGCTGTCAAGGCAGCATGTCCCGACATGCACGTGCATGCCTTCTCGCCTCTGGAGGTCTGGCATGGTGCCACATCCCTCAACTGCAGGTACACGTGTGGATGGATGTATGTATGCTGTTCACAAAAAAGAAAAAGAAAAGAAAAGAAAAAACCCATGTTCCCTTCACTGTGCTGTGGACATGCATGCATATGCTTCATGTGCTTCGACGTCTTCGAGATCTCGAAGACCACGAGTGCTTGTGGAAAAAACAAAAGAACAAAAAAAAACAAAAAAAAAACTGTGCAGCGCTCATATCTTCTGTGACGAAAGCATCAGGCCAGTCGATTTTTGTTCCCTCCGCCCCTCTGTCATCTTCCCCCCATGCGCATGCCTCACTGTCCCTTTCTTTTTTTCCCTTTTTTTTCTGAGTTGACTTGAAATTCTCTCCCTTCTTCTCTTTTAAACCCTGCTCCCTCCTATCCTTTGCGCCTCTGTCGCCTTTCCCCAATGCACACACCGCAGCGTGCCGCAATTTCTCAAGCTCCTGAAGGATGCGGGTCTGGGTTCTCTGCCTGGAACGGCTGCTGAGGTGAGCAGAATACCAGAGTCCACACACTTCCTCCATCGCCCTAGCAATGCAGGCCTAGGATTCCTGCCCGGTGACTTTTGAGTCGACTCAAAGGTCACCCCATCGCCCTAGCAATGCAGGCCTAGGATTCCTGCCTGGTACAGCTGCCGAGGTGAGAAGAGAAGAATACCACGCCAGGCGTGAAGACCTCGCGTGGTGATATTACAGTCTCGTATCACGACTGGGGTTTATTTCCGCAATATTGTTGACGCACTTTCTTCCCTTCTTCCTGCTTTTGGCCTGGCCATCACCCCTCTCCAGTCACCCTGTCCAACCCCTCTCCACTCCTTTAAACCCAACCCCTCTCCTCTCACCCCCTCCAACCCCTCTCCACCCTTCGAACCCACCCCTCTCCACCGCTGTAGATCTTGGACGACTCAGTGCGAGCAGTGCTGTGCCCAGATAAGATCTCAACCGTCCAGTGGAGGGAGGTGATCGAGGCCGCTCATGCTGTGGGCCTCCCCACCACCTCCACCATCATGTTCGGCCACGTGGACCATCCCATCCACTGGTAAAGCACCTGGTAACCATGTGGTAACCACACGTTCCCTGGAAAGAACGTGCTCTCACCTGGTAACGTTACGTAAAAATCCTGGGGTGTTCATGCTGTCGGCCTTCCCACCACCTCCACCATTATGTTCGGCCACGTGGACCATCCCATTCACTGGTAACCACCTATTAGCAACCTGGTAACTGTCTCTCACCTGGTAACCGTACTTAGACTCTACTCCGTGATTGATGATGCTGTCAACCTCCCCACCACCTCCACCATCATGTTTGGCCACGTGGGTCATCCCATCCACTGGTAACCACCTGGTAACCACATGGTAGCTGGTGTCAACCTGCCCTCACTTGGTAACCTTACTCAGACTCTGGGAGTTGAGAATGTTGCTAGGCGTCCCACCACCACCACCACCATCATGTTCGGCCACGTGGACCATCCCATTCACTCGTAACCACCTGGTAACCACCTCATAAAGCTCTTGGAAACATTCCCTTGACTTCCACCCAGTTCTCCACTCCTTCCGCCCTTTGCCCCCTTTCCATCCCTCCACCTCCCCAATCCCCACCACCCCCCCCCCTCAGCTCCCTGTGCGACTCAGGGCACGGCACCTGCTGCTGCTGCGGCCCATTCAGGAGACTATTTCTTAGTCAACTAAAACGCCAGCCCTCCACCCACCCTTCCCATGCCTCTCAGGGCTCGGCACCTGCTGCTGCTGCGGTCCATTCAGGAGCGGACAGGTGGCATCACGGAATTCGTCCCCCTGCCATTCGTGCACATGCAGGTAGGGACGTGCACACATGCATGTTCACATGCATGTTCACATGCATGGATGAATGCATGCATGTACATGTACACATGCATGGATGGATGCATGCATTTACACATGGATGGATGTATGTAAAATGTGCATGGATATCTACGTTTACTTTCGTACATGTGTATGTATGTACGTATGGTTGGATCTGATCAGGTGCAGTAGCAGAGTCACATCATCCCTCTGCCTTTTCCCTCCTTGGCATCATACCCTCCCCCACCTCCTCACCCTCTCCTCCCTTCATTATCCCCTCCTTTCCCCCGCCCCCCCTCCCTGTATCACCCCTCCTCCCCAGGCGTCTGTGTATTCATGGGTAGCAGCAGCCCCTTCTGAAGCAACTCAAAGCTCTTCTCTCCCCAACCCCTTTTTCACCTGCACAACTGTGAAGCAACTGTGAAGCGAAAGGCCATCCCACTTCCTTCGCTCCTCCTCCTTACACTCTTTCCCCCAGGCGCCAGTGTATCTCAAAGGAAGGAGCAGGCGAGGCCCCACGTTCAGAGAGTGTGTGCTGATGCACGCTGTGGGTCGACTGGTGCTGCATCCCCTCATTACGAACATCCAGGTGAGGGATGTACGTGCACATGTACATGCACACATGCGTAAGCACATCCATATGCACATGCGGACATGCACGTGCACGCATTTATATGCACATCCAGACATGCACATGCACACATGCACATGCACACGCACATGCACGTGCACACATATGCACATACACATTGATTCAAACTATGGATGGATTAATGTGCGGTGTGCATGTGCCTCCTTCCACCCTTACCTCCACCCAATAGGCCTCATGGGTAAAGATGGGATTGGAGGGCGTTTCTTGTCTGCTAGCGGCTGGTTGCAATGACGTGGGTGGCACACTGATGAATGAGAGCATCACACGGGCGGCTGGAGCAGTACATGGTGCGTGAAGCTGTGGTTTGTTGCGGTGTGTAATTTTTTTCCTCTTGCACTCCCTTTCTGCCGCTTATCCCCCCCCCTCCTCCCTTCTCCGCTACCACACCGCTCTTTTGTTGCCCAGCCTGTCCTCTGCACCATTTACCAACCTACAAGCACTCCATTTTCGTTCGTCCTTATTTTTGAAATATGCAGGTCAGGAAGTAACAGCTCAGCGCATGGAAGCAGTCATATATGCAGCTTGCCGTCAACCCCGTCAGCGAACCACGTTATACGAGTATCATAGAGCACATTGAATCTGTGATTATCGTGTCTGAGATTATGGCTCTATTCCTGTACATACCATATGATATCCAGTCTTCTAAGTACCCTCACTGCACAAATCGTCAACCTAAGCTCACGACAGGATTAAAATGGCATGTAAACTCGTCAATATACATTGTTATGCTTCTAAATTAACTTGCAAAGCGCGCAGAATAATGAATAACGAGAATAAGAAATACAGAATGCCGATACGATACAAAGAAAGTAGCGAGGCCTAAATAGGGGAAAACCTAGCTATGCGGGGAGGTCGGCAAAGGATGGCTTGCGATTGGTGCGGAGGCGACTTGGTGAGGTTTGGATGAGGAAATGTAGGCCGAGCCAGTGGGTCGCGTGGCCCTCTGGATGACCTCGCTAAGGTTAGGTAAATCCTAACAATAATGTAGTCTCATATAATTGTATCGGATTACCTCGTGCTTGGTATGCCTTGAAGTTCCGCCTCTGCCTTGCTTTCCCCGAAATACTTCCCGCTGTCGTCCCCGTAGTCTGCATTTCCGATAATATCAGTTGGGTCAGCTCCCGCCAGTACATTAACTACATAGTCGTCTCGAAATTGCCGCTCACAATGAGGGCGCGAAGAGACTCCTGACGCTTTGGTCCGCACATAGCCGACGTGTTGAAATAGCGACGGCACGTGCACGTATCCCGTCCGATTGGCGCTACCGTAGTAGTTAGGTATTTGTTTAGCAGCCAATCCATAGGAGCCTTGTAACGCCTAAGGGGCTTACACGTAAGGGTATGAGAGCATCCGCTGCGCCTCAAATACAACCCTCGTTTTGACCCAGTGGGTAGCGAGGTGTTACATTTGGTATCAGAGCCTGGGGTTCAATTCCCGGCTGGGTCACATGTGATTGTGCCAGTCGTGAACCCAGTGAACGATCCGCCGCTGGCCTGGCCCACCAGCGAAGTCGTTGTAGAGCGAGATTCAGGTCCTTGCGAGGGCCGACTCCCTGCCCAACGAGGACGTTGGCTCCAGGGGGGGACGAGTGTAACGCCTGTGGGGCTTACACGTAAGGGTATGAGAGCATCCGCTGCGCCTCAAATACAACCCTCGTTTTGACCTTGTGGGTAGCGAGGTGTTACAGCCTCGACGAATCGCTTCTCCACAAACCCTAGCAGGTCTTCGAGCGCCGATACTTTGAAGAGCAGGGCCTGAGCGCAGCATGGAATTAGATATTTCCCCGCCATGCTTATATTCCCAAAAGTACGATTCGGGATAGTAAAGGGATAGGACTGTCCACTCCTTATCCTTCAAATCTTCGTTTATGAATTTCTCGATACCGATGTCGTAGAGGCGGGCTGGCCTTGTGTCGTCTTGCAGCAGCAGGATGTATTTCGGTTTCGTCGCCATGCCCTGTCGCATCACGTAGACGAAATCCATTACCAGCTTCGTTCGCCATCGCCAAGATTCCCAGCCGTCGGCGCCGACCATCTCGTCTGTCACGCCGAACTTCCGCAACACCTCCTCGTCTTCCTGAACGAAGTCGCACGCATCTTGGCGGGATAGAAACACCACTACATTCAATGAAGATTCTCGTCCAGCCATTCTTAGGACTTTCTCATGCAGAACTCCCATCGTCTTTTTTCGTTCTTCCAAGTCGCCCAGATGAGTTGGTAGTACCGGCTCGGTAGCTGATTCCACGTGGCGTAGGGTCGGTCCTTTCAACAAGCTTGTAGTCGTCGTAGTCGTTCCTTCATGAGGCCGCGGGTCCTCCTCCGAAGCGCTGGCTTCTGACGCGACGGCTTGTTTCTTGAGGCACTGTAGAATTTTCCGTTTCTCGTTGCAGCCCGAGTTGTAGACCACGACTTTCATGTCTTTAAAGCCGCCGGGAGCATTAGACGGCGACCGTCGCCGTTCCAGCATATCTAGAAGAGACACAGGGAAGTACCACGGTCGCAGCTTGCGTTTTTCGGGAAAGACACGTGGCATCGAAGCTATAGCCACGCAGACTTCCAGTTGATTGTTTGCGCTCTTGCTGCTAGTAGTACTCCCGTCGCTGTCGACATTGAAACTGTTTCGGTCGCTCTTTTGATAATCCCCCGCCGTTTGACTTTGCCTTCCGTTGCTGCCACGTGTCGCGTCCTGGAGTGCGACATTTGGCTCAAAGTAGTCTCGTCTGATGTGGCGACGCAGATGCAGAGGACTCAATACAGTGTAACCCGTTAATGCCGATGCGTTAATAGCTCAAGATGCAGCGTCGACGTTCCTTGCTGTGGAACCAGTCGACTGACGAGGCTGTGCCGAAGTAAGGAACGCCCTGAAAACGGATCTTGCGAACGTGGACGGTAACCAAGTTACAGATTCTGAAGCTGACTGTAACGAGGTCAATGATGGCGGCGACTGTGGCGAGAGCAGCTGGCGCCTGTGAAACTCGAACACCTTACCAGCCAAGTCCAGGCGTTCACAAACTTGGACATCGCGATTGAGCTGGGTACTGACCCAAGGCACGAAGATTAAAACGAGGCCACACGCGAGAAGCAGGAGAGCGAGGCGGTAGTAAGGTCTGGAGAGCCTTGCGCGAGACGAAGTGGTTGTGGCTAAAGCAGCACTTGCTGACGAACTTGCTGGTAGTAAGTTGGATCATGGTGCCTGGGACGTGGTAGCTGGAGGTTGTGCTAGAGCATCTGATACGAGATTAAATGATAAGCGGAAAGGACACATGTTAGCAACAATTTTCAGAGTCCATCCGAGCCCTGGTGGGTTCGAATCCACCAGGTGCCTCATCTGGTGGATTTCGAACCCACCAGACGCGCTAGCTGGCGGAAGCGAGCTGGCGGGGGTGATCGCGCATTCGCCCGTGTTTTTCCGACCGGGCGCGTACAGTATGAACCTTTGATGATAAGGGGGTGTCTGATCTGAAGTGAACGTCAACATCCCCCGACGAGTCTTTGAGGGATGTCGATGAATCTTGACGGTCGGAAAGCTCGATCCGAGGGTGGAAATTTGCCGACATTCCCTGACGAAACTGTGGCGTCCGTCGACGTTTCACTTCAGACACCCCCAAGTAGTGATAGGCAATGAGTGATAGCCTGTTGGCGACAGCCTGTGATAATTTGTCGGTGCGATATGTCCACTTGATCCCAATGTTGGTGCAACCCTATGGTTTGCACTCGGCTTGTTGTCCGTGTGCATGCATGTGTGTGTGTATGGAATGGTATGAGGGCATGGGATAATATATATTTCATGCTTATAATTGTGTATGAATGTTGAGTCATGATGTCGAGTGTGTGTGTTGAGTCAATGGCGAGTTATCGCTAGACGCGTGTTACGCGGTCGTTTGTGTCTCGCGCGCGGTTTCTATTTTGTCGTGCGCGGTTTCTATTTTGTCCTGTGTCGAACGTTCGGTGTGTCGCAGGTGTGTGCAGCAGACCCATCAAGAACTCAAGGATGAGTTTGTGATGAAGAGCCCGAGCCTTGGTGTCAAGCCTCAAGTGATTTCGATGCTCGCCAAAAGGGTACACCTCAAGATATTGAAGATAGTTACATTACTTTGTGTAGTGTAACATTTCACTTGGTGTAGGCCCTAGTGAAGGGTAGTTTCGAGACCCTTCGTGGTTGGGGACAGTGTGGCACTGTTCCACATCACTGTACCTCGGCTCTTGGGGTTTGTAGGAGCTGGGAGTCATTCCCAACTCGTAACTCTTCATATCTCTTCCTATTTTGTGTTCTAAGACTATAGTGGCTGCCATAGTGCCGTTCGTTCAAACCGACACTGTGTCGTCAATACTTGGTGAAATTGTGCGATCTAAATTGCCTATTGTAGGCGACGTTCAGACGCTCCAGATCCAAGTTGAATCAGGTCATTTGAAGTTGTGACCAGAACGCTATGAACGTTTGAAGCCGCTGTGCAGAAATCCGGCTGTGCACTCTATCTTTCGTTTTAGGCACATTGGAGCCTATTGTGACTATAACACCCAACGGGTTATTGCTGGCCGGGATATGCGGGGAACGGGACGGGATATGCGGGGAAAGGGACGTGGGGGCATTGCTGCATTGCAGTATGACATTTGGTTGCCGCTGGTTGTCCTCCGAACATCTGTCTGGAGGCGGCGAGCAAGCTCTTCTCAAGACCAATAGTAGTTGGATGTAGGCACTGGGGGGAATGGCTTGGGCGTGATAGTGGGGAGTGATTGGCTGAAGGTGGTGCTGATTGGCTTGGGCGTGATAGTGGGGAGTGATTGGCTGAAGGTGGTGTATTCACTGGACGCATTGTTTCCCGCAAACGCGCAATGAGAATCCCAGGTTTGTGCCAGGCACCGCAGGTGACTGAAAATCGCGAAGACGCAAATGCTTTATGCGAAATGAGAGGGGGTTGTTTGTGTGAGGCGGAAATTACTCGCGAAAACCGATCGACTACAGTTTTTTCGCAATGTAAAGGGAGAGGGCTGGGGCTCATGCATTTCTCGATTTCCCTCAAGTGGCAACCTGGCCAAAAGCCTCATCGGAATTCGGTCGTCAGAACGGTTTTGCCAGTGTCGTCGAGGGGGGTCGTCGGAGCCGAGAATGACGAGGCGGGCAACTGATGCGCGTGCGGGCCCGCTAGCCTGGCCCAGGGCTGGGCCGAGCGCACGACCGCCACCCCGCAGCCCCGCTCTGAAAGTGAACAGCGGCCCACGTTACCAGGTGGGGTCGGCGAACTGGCGACACCTCGCGCGTGGGAAAATTACCCTCGCGCGAAGGCAGCCCACACGTGCCACCTGCCCGCGAGGTCCTAGTAACCCATCGCGGCCTGCCCGGACGGGCAGGCGAGGGCCGGGCGAAAACTCGGGGCCCCCTCGGGACGCTCGACAATTTCGCGACCCGTTGCGGTGACGCCACGTGTTCGCTCGTGGTTTCGCATCGGGCGCATGCGATATTTCGATGCGAGCGAAAAAGAAAATCCCGCAACGCGGAGAACGAGGTTCGTTACCCGCTACGAATTCGACACGTGTCGTGCGAATGGACGCTCCTCGCGCATGCGAAATTGCGTCCCCTCGCCAACCTGGGCCAATGGACGCGAGGTCGACGCCCCGCCGAAGCGGAGTCGGACCACCTGTCCCACTTGCGCATGCGCCCTCAGAGCCCTGCCGAGCCAGGCCCCACACCCCTGGGCGACGCTGAACGGGGATGCGGTGGGCCACCGTCTCCTTTTCTTTGTGGATGGTGGCCTCGCTCCCCATTTTCTGCATCTCGTTTCGCTCCTCCTTTTCTCCTTTTTTCCTCCTTTCGTAGCTCTGTGCGGCTATCGTGATATCACTTCCCCTTAGTCGATATGGACCCTAGCCCCGACGCCGATAACTCGGCGCCGACTTCGGCTGACTTCCCTCTTCGTCACCCAATGGGTCGTGGTCTCAGCTTCACTCTAGAGTGGGAAGACTTCTTAGTTCTTTGCAACCACAAGATAGAGTTCAACGACGGATGTTTGGGTTTCGGCATCAGGTAGGACTTGAGTAGTCGGCGCCGACTAAACAGGGTTAGTGCTGATGTCGGCGCAGTGGCCTTCTGATTTACGTCGACGTGCGCGGTATTAGGCATAGACCCCCTCCAGGAACGTCGGCCACCTTAGGAAGCGTCGACCACACGCAGTCGCCCTGTGTACTTTTCGGCGTTTGCTCAACCGCCCTTGTATGAACCTCCTTGCCCAATCGTGCCGTCAGGTTCGCGTGGTCCCGACTTGGGATCGACAACCAGCGTTTGTGGGTAATCGGAGTCGGCACACTTTGATCGGCCATGAAGGAGGCCGACCATTCATGCTTTGCTGCGGTTTTCGACGCCGACATCGCCGCTATCCCGTTAAGAACGATGTGAGTTGTTTCACGGTTGATCAGTTGTCGTTTTTTGTTGTCGCGACATCGCGTGGTGTTGTGATCGACGCCGTCATGAATTGCATGTGCAGCCTCGGTCCGCTTCCAGGAACGCACTGCAGCGTCATTCCCATCCTATACCCTGGAGATCTCTTGAAGGCTGAGGGACATGTGTGCAGGACCTCAATCCGGCACATCGACCCGCAGACCGGTAAAGGGTATCACCGCGACGAGGCCGCCCGCGTGCTAAAGTAAGTGCTGAATTGTCGTCGATGACCCGCTTGTTAGTCGGCGACACAGGGTATCACACGCTGGCGCCTCCCTCCACCGCGGTGCTTCAGGTTCTTCCGCACGGCTGTCCTGGCCGAGCTGGGGCATCCCGGTAGGATGTGGGACTGGGCGCCGCCATCACAAGCAGTGGTGGAGGTCAGGCTGGCCGACTGCGACCACCCTATCCGCGATGTGAGTTGCACATTCTAGTAGTAAGGGGGGTGCCCGATTCTGAATGCTCCGCTCATCATGTTCCGTGCTTGTACGCAGAAAGTGCCGGGCACAGTGTCGGACGGGCATGTCGCTGCCGGCGTGCTTTCCGCGACGTCGTTCGGGTGGGTAGCGAAACAGATCGACCATCTGACAGGCGAGAAGGGTCGTAGTGGGGTGAGCATCGAGAGCGTCGGGATGAAGGGGCTGAAGGCTTTGCGCGACAGCATGGTTGAGTACGTCGGCAAGGTCATTGCCGTAAAACGCACTGCGGCACCGACTTCTCAAGCCGCCGGACCCGGCGACAGTGCCATTGATGACGACGGCGCGGAAGGACAGAAGGCGCCCCAAGGTGCAGTTGCCGCCCAGCATCAGGGGAACGCGAGGGTGCATGGGGAAGGTGGAAACGGTGGAGGAGGCGACGCAGAGGCAGGTGCAGGAAGGTTGGAAACGGAGAAGTCGTCGTCGTCGTCTGAGTCGGAGTCGGAGTCGGAGGAGGAAGACGAGGCGGTGAAGCGTAAGGTCGAGGACGAGGAGGAGGAGGAGGAGGAGGAGGATGAGGAGGAGGAGGAGGAGGAGGAGGAGGAGGAGGAGGAGGAGGAGGAGGAGGAGGAGGAGGAGGAGGAGAATAAGGACGAGAATGGTGAGAAGTGGGAGGGAGGGGATGAAGAGGTGGAGCTCGTGGTGGAGTATGTAGAGGGTACGGTTGAGGCGGGAGCGGCGGAAGAGGCGGTGGGGTCGGCAGATCAGGGGAATGAGGAAGAGAAGGACGACGGCGCGGGAAATGCTACGAGGTCGGCAGATGTGGGGAAGGAGAAGGGCGAGGTCGGCGTGGAGGCAACGACGGGAAATGGCCAGGATGAGGGGGCCTGCGAGGGAGGTGGGAAGGTGTCGGTCAACGCCGGCGAAGGGGCGAACAACACGGGCATGCAGGAGACCGGGGAAGCACCTGGTCGGCAGGGCCCTGAACTGGACGACGTTGAGGAGCTGCAACGGGAGAACTGGTTGTTGCGGGCGGAGAACGCTCGGCTGGCGACGTTGCTCGATGCGGAGCGGGCTCGGCTGGACGGGTTTTTTTGTTGGGGTCAGTGGACTCGTCGACCACGTTAAAGGGTTTGCCGAGCAGGTCGGCGACACCGAGAAGTATGCCGCGGAACAGCTGCGAAACGCGACGGAGGCCATGTCGAAGACCATCACGGGCAACATCACCGGCAGCTTTGACGAAACATGGAAGTCGATGAAGACATTTGCGGAACAGGCGACGGAGTGGTTGGAGGACTTCGACAATCCAGAGGGTCGTGTCGCGTATGCACGGGCGGTAGCGGTCTCCGCCTTGGCCGAACACGTAGATTCGGTGGTGGGCGATGCGAAGAAGGGGTTGGAAGAGTACGTCTCAAACCACCTTGCCTCCGCGCAGGTCAACATCGCCACCGCTGTGACCGCCAGGCTCGCCGTGCCGCCGCCGCCACCACCTCATCCCACGCCGCCCGCCATCCTGGAAGAGCTTTTGAAGTCGTTCAAGGCCGACATCATGAAGGCGGTGACGGAGGCCACCCAGCGGTCTTTCGTTGCTTCCAGGATGAAGATGATGACAGAGATGATCGGCACTGTGGCGCCAGGTCGACGTGGGTCGTCGCCTTCGGCCAATGACGCCGATAACGTGCAAAAAAAAACGGCCGAGAAGAAGGGCCATAAGAGGACGGGTGACGGAGACGACAAGGAGAGCTTGAAGCGGAGCAAGGGAGCGGACGGTAGCCACGGGTCGAAGCCTGCGCAACAGAGCGTGGTCAACCAGCTGAAGACGAAGGTGGGGTGGAAGGTGGTAAGGACGTCGCACAGCAAGGGAGGCGGAAGCGGGGGAGCAGAGGGTGGCCCTGCCGACGGGGTTGCCGCTAACGTAGCTGCTCCGACTGGCCCGCCTTTGGTCGCCGAGCAGACCCATCCTCAGCCGAGCGGTGGGAAAGGTGTGACCGACAAGGAGGTGCCAACTGCTCAGGCGGCGAATGATGGCGACTCCGGAACCACCAAGGGACCGTCCGTCGCGGCGGCGGCCAAGCCTGCTTCTGCTACGGTTGCCGGCACCACCAAGTCGAGTCCCTGTAACCCCCTTGCGGCTACCAGCGCGCCTGCCGGCCAGTCAGGTGCGAACAAAGATGGGGAGGCTGCTCCAGCTCCAGCAGCCCCGGCTGCCGCCAAGGGCGTCGCGAAGGCTGCTTCGGCTAAGGGTGATGCCGTGGCATCGGCTAAGGCCCCCCCGGTGGTACCGCGCTCAGAGAGATGCTCCGCCGCATGGAGGCACATAGCAGGGACGTGCAGCAGCATCCCGTGGTCGACGCCGGCCTTCCTGGAACAGCATGTCGCTCCGTCACTACGCAGGTTGCTGACAAGTCGTCCGGTGCCCCACCTGCCGCGCCTCCGGTGGCCGCCCCACCGCCTGCGGACCCCAAGTCCGCTTTTCTTCGCTCCCATTTAGGCGCACGCAAAGCGGCTGCTCCGTAAGTGACCCTGCAGGAACTCGGCAAAAGCGCGACGTCGACGTCGGTAAACGCGATCGCACCCACACCAGGTGCATCTGTGGTCGATGTGGTGGCGGAGAAGGGAGTGAGTGCAGCGCTCGCCACCGGCGGCCGCGCAGACAAGCATGCCGACCTCGCTGTCTTCATGGCCCATTTTGAGGCAGCAAAGCGCCACGAGCACCCCCGAGAAGATGGAGCTGGCCTACGAGCACGCGATTGCGTTCGTCGTCTACGACGGCTACGTGAGCAAGGTGCTCATGAAGGAGCTCACCGTCTTGAAGCCGGGGGAGTTGGATAAATGGAAGGAGGTGTGGGCGGAGGTCAAGTTCTTGCCGACGGGGATGTGGACGGTGATGTGGGCAAGAGGCTTGTGCCATCCGAGAGCACGGTAAGACGGATCCTGACGTGCCGAGTTCTGTCAACCAAGTCGTGTCATTACGCTGATGTTGACGAAGTCGTGTCGTTCTAATGTGTTTGCGCGGCAGGTTCGACGACATACTCGGCAGGTACCGTGGGTACGCGAGTTCGGGTGATGCGCTTCATGACGTGCTCTGGCCGGCGATCTGGTTCCCCATCATCGAGGACACAGAGGAAGGCAAGGAAGAGACGGACGCTCTCATGTCGGCAATGGTAAATCGCGTGTCGATGTGCGCGGCGTATGGGAAGGTCGCGGCGAGCGCGGCGTTTGGGAAGGTCGATGCGAGCGTGGAGGGGAAGGCGGACGAGAAGACGGAGATGGGGGCCCAGGCGTTAGCGGCATCGCCATCTGGTGCTTCTTGGAGACAGGGGCGTCGGTGCTCGGTGCTGTGGGCGAAGGGAAGGCGGCGGCGATGGTGGTAGGTGTGGGGGAGGCGAGGGCCGAGGACTTCAAGGAGGTGATGCACGCGGTGATCGACATAGCACGCACTAGGCAGGCTCCCGCTGGGGAGGCTGCACATAACGTCGCGCCATCGCTGCAGAGCCAGGCAGTGGCCAGGGCCTTCGCGAAGGGAGTTGAGGAAGTCGAGGCCGACATGATCGCAAGAGCGACGGTCGAGACCTTGTTGTTCTGGGGAATGTGTCCCGACGCCGGGCCCAAGCTCAAAGCGCAGGGCATCGATGTGCCGTGTGACGCGAGGATGGAGTACGATATGGATCACAGGGGGAGAAGGTCAAGCAGAGCAAGGGCAACAGCACGAGGAAGAAGGGCAAGCAGGGCAAGGGCAGTACGGATGCGTAGTTGGCGGGCTGTGGTGTGCAGGGTACTATTGTATGGTCGGCGGCGATGTCGTAGTAATTCTAATGACTTTTGTATCATAGGGCACGAACCTTTTTTGTTTTTTAGTAAATCACTGTCCACATTGAAACTTGCTAGCCAACATTGAACGATGCGCCTTGTCGGCGCATATATCGACATCAAAAGGAACATGCTACTCGGCGAGCAGCGATGATAGAGAAGGTAGACACATGCTACTCCGCTACGAGTTCTGTCGGCGAATATGTCGACACCCTAGCAACATGCAATCTTGCGAGACGTCGACATCGAGCTGTATTTAGATGTCAGCAAGGATAGTATTTTTGTTTCTTACTGAGCGATCGACTACATTTAACACAGCGGGACCCAGTAGGTTCGCAAGGGCCTTGCAATGGGTTGTTACAAACTACCGGAACAGCATTTGGAAAAAGAAGGGAAGAGGGTGGGGGGGAAGGGGGGGGGGTGTACAAATCTGCCACAGTTAACAGCATCGAACTATGCACACGCATATCCTACAGGCGCGATCATGCCGACTTCTTGCGCTTGGTCGGAGGACGGTGCACCGGAGCGGTCGGCTTGGCCGGTGCTGTCGACTTGGCCGGGGCCGTCGGCTTCGCCAGGTCGGCCTTGGTCTTTGGCATCTGCTCCTCCCACGTGTCTGGAAACAGGGTTTCGACCCAATCACTCTGCTTCAAGTTGAGCGCCACAAGCGCACAGGCAAGGCGTAGCTTCAACACCACCTTGGAGCCCAACCCCTTGACTCCCAAACCAGGCTCTTTGGACAACATCGGTGCCGTTCCCGGTTTGAGCACCGTGAGGGCATCGGCGAAGGTCCCAATGCCCGATGCCGCGATCCTGTGCAGTGTGTCGACCACGGCCTCGGTGTCGGCGTCGCCGTCGCTCGCGCATAGCTGGCGCACCGCATCCATGACCTTCAGCATGCGGCGCACCCTCTTGTTGAGTGCACCCTGCGTCGCGCAGGCGAGGAGGGTGTGGCGGTCGATGAACCCCGGCTCGGCCATCCTGTCGCGAAGCCGACGGGTGTCATTAGCGGTGGCGGAGTTCCAGAGGCGCCAGGCGTCCCTCACGGTCTTGGCCTCCCGCCACGGTTGTACCACGTTGAGCTCGTAACTAGCCTCCACGTCCGTCTGTGGGGGTGGCGGGGGTTTGTCGTCCCCTCCGTCGGCGCCGGCTCCCATGTTAGCCGAATCCGCCGAGCCACCCTCGCTGGGAGCTTGCGCGGTAGCACACAGCGGGGCCTCCGGCACTCTCCGTGCTTCTGACACCCGGAGTGCCTCGGTGAGACGGGTTATCTCGGCGGTGAGAGACGCGATGGTGTCGTCGCGCTTCTCGAGCTCCTCCAGGAAGTCAATCTTCTCGTTCGCGGCACGCTCCATCTCCTTCGTCAGCTTCGCCTTGAGGGATATGTTGTAGTACTCGGTGTCCATGAGGACAGAGATTTCCTGCAGCGGTAGGACAAAGACGTTAGCCGCTCGGTGGTTTGGAATGCCCTACAGCCAGTTCGTCGTCGACTTACCTCTTCCTGAATTTGGGTCGGGTCCCGACGCTTGTTGATCGTCTCGGTGTCGACCCTCTCGACCCATTTCGCCCAGTGCTGGAAGAGGGGGATCCGGGAGAGCAGGGAGCCTTGGACGTACGGGTGCCATGGTGTGCGGACCAGCTTCACCGCTAGGTCCTCGGCGACGATGCGGCGCAGCATCTGGAGTGTGCGCCAGAAGTGCACCGCGGCTTTGTCGGCGTCGGACCCCTCGGCAGCCTTCCCTTCCGCCTGCAATTCGTCACGTGTATTAGGAGTTCAGACACTGTCGGCAACACAACTCGGAAACAAGGATACGAGGGCGTCGACTAACATACCGTCTTCTGCATGTCGTCGACGCCGGGGAAGATGTGCTCGGCAAGGAGCTTCAAGAGCTTATCAGAGGGCTCCACCCTGCTCCGGCCCAAGAAGTAGTCCTGCTTGTAACCAGAGTAACCGGCCTTCTTCATCACCACCCCCACCGGAATGGCGGTGATGTACGCTCGCGTCATCTTGTCGAGCGCCCAGTGACCCAGCTCCGCGATCTCGGCGCGCAGCGTGCCGTCGATGGCCAGCTCCTGGGCCCCTCCGGCTCGAGCAGCGTGCACGTTCCTCTTGCAAAAGACCCCGTTTTGGTCCCACAACTGCCGCGTCCAGCGTTGGTGGCTTGCCGCAGAGAGCTCCCCTTGGTCGGTGTCGTTTTTGGCAAAGAAGAGGTGCTTCTTGTACCAGCTCGCGCGTGTGCTGGTGTCCACCGGCAGAATGAGGCGGACGCCGTGAAACTGGCCGATCTGGTCGAGGATGAAGTGCAACCACAGGCCCGTCTCGCCGACGGCGCACAACTCCGCTTCGAGGTGCCGAGCAGCGTAGCTCTGCTGCAGACGCGCATCCTTGGACGTCTTCGAGTTCCGCGCAGCGATGACCATGACGACCGGCTGGCTCTCCGGGTTCACCGACGAGGTGCTCGCCAGTCGGTACAAGAATATGCCGGGGAGAGAGTGGTGGGAGAGTAGCGTGAGCACCTTCAACAGCAGAAACCGCCATAGCGTCTGCGACGGGCCCGTACCCCGCGGGTTCCACGCCTTGGCCGCCCACGTCGGCAGCACCCTGAACATGATCTGGCGGAACTGCTCGGCGGTGTAGGTATCGCCGATTGTTCCGCGACGCCGATCGGTGCAGTTCCTGCCGACAATGCCGAGGGTGGGGGGCAATTAGGGCGGCGTCAACCCATTACAAGACAACAAGAGGTTAAACAAAAACTCACTTGATGTCCCGCTCGTTCTTGGTGCGGATCATGAACCGCACCTCCGACTTGACCACTGATATCTCTCGCATGTAGCTTAGCTCCGTCTCCCGGTATATCGTCGCCTCCACTCTCGCTGCCATCTGGCATGCCTTTATGCGCCCGAGGAGCGTGTGCACTGTTGTAGATTGCACAGGCTGTGTTCTTGTGGCGTTGTTGCCCTTCTTGCTGGACTCGACATCGAGATTCAACTCCCGAACCATGTACTTCACGTATGCGCGAAGCCGGGACTTGGTGACCCTAGGGACGTGCAGCCACACGTACGACCGGGGGACATCGGCCTTTGATGTTGGTGACTGGTAGCTTCGGCTTCCACCTCAACGCACCTATATGCAGTTGCAGTGATGCTTTGCCGTGGATAGGAAGCTTCGTACCGTCCACCATGGTTGCTGAAAACTGGGTCTCTTCCGCCTTCTCTCCAATTTTCTCCAATGCTCCGCGGTCACACACCGAGTGAGATGCACCGCTGTCCACCAGTGCCTGGAGGCGTCGCCCATTGCATAACACCTCGAGGAGTAGTGGTTTCTGCTGTGCTGAGTAGCCAAAGAGGGTCTCGTTAACAGGATCATAGGGTACATCAAACTTAATACCTTCCCTTTTTCCTATACCTGACTCAGCGCTTTCCAACTTCACCTGGGGGGTAGGAGGATTTTTCCGAGGCTTGTATAATTTTTCCTGAGCCTGGATGTCTCCTCTAAGCCTTGGCAGCTGTGTAGGCTTCACCTGTGGGCGACGGGGAGCCTTAACACTGTGCTGCGAGGAGAGAATATTAATTCCACGGAACGCACGACCCTTTTCTACGCTCCGTAGTGCTTTGCCCAACTTCTCAGGTACCTGAATAATTTCTAAAGGCTTTTTCTTGGCCTCTAGACCTCCCCTGAATTTTTTGAAGGCTTGTAAACCACGAGAAGCAATATTCTTCGTTAGAGCATCTTTATAGGATACTTTTAACGAATTCTTACTTTCGTGGGTGTTCGGTTGGAGTTTCCTGGTCGGTGCTGAGTCTTTTTTCGCGGAGCCTCCATTCGCCTCGGCGATTTCCCCTTATGCCGGCCGGTCGTGACGTTTTAAATTCGCGCCATCATTTTCTCCTTTTTTCACCCGCTCCGAAGTCGCCACGTCGTCGCCTTTTCCTGCTTTTCGGATCTTTACGCGATCGCCAGGTCGATCCGCGGCTACTGGCGATTCCCGTTTTTTTACTTCGGGGGTGCTCCACTGTTTCCGTCCCGGAGTGCTGCACGTGCTTTCTTCATTTTGTAGCACGACAAAAATTGATGTCCTCCTGCGCCGCAAAATTCGCATTTTGTCGGCTTCTGCTTCGCGTCGTATTTGTCGATATCCATCGGTTCGGTGAACGTGGGGGGTGCCGATCGCTCCGTGCCGAATGTACGGTTCGGCGTGAAGCGTCGTGTTTCGGGTTGACTTCGAGTCAGCGCGTCGTATCGCTCGGCAGCACGCACGATGTCTCTGTAGCTGTTGTTGTGAAAGTAAGAGAACAGGAATGAATGAACTAGCAGTGAAATGAGTACAAGTAGGAAACCCTAGAATTGTGTACCCCCTATAGGCTAACCCACTGTAGCCTACACAAGCATAACATATATAATGTTTGACACACCCCCATAGGCAAAGTGGGGGAGAACAAGGGGTCACAAGACCAGTCAAGCAAAGCAAAGCAAGCTCAGGGTGGATCACAAAGTCACCACACAGTCCGAGCACAAGAGCAGGACCAGAGGCCAGTTCACATGCAGGAGTACAGACATATATAT